AAGATGATTGCTTAATCTGTCACTAAATAGTGAATTAGGCTAGTAATGAGAACCAGGTCTGGTGAAGACTGTGCTTACTAACATTAATATTATTAATTTAATTTTACTTAAATATGATTGAATAGCTATTCCAGTCTGATAAAAAGAGAGTCTCACTATGGACAAGGCAATAATTTTATAAGTGCTATTTGGTTCAGTATATCATCTCTAAAAATATTCTGCCATGATGGGTAAGGTAAAACTAGAGGATCTTTGTGGAATGCTTAGCTATTCTAACTCTGCATTTCATCATCTTATTATATCTCCACTTCCATCTTTCCCAGCTTTAACCTTTCAAATAAAATCTACAGCTGCTGAATGGAACAGGAAATGAACAATAACAACTGACACCAATAACCTGTGTGCAGCACAGGCCTGAGTTAGCCTTTCATTGCTGTCCTCCAAAAGTAGTCATCGTATTTTCACTCAATAGCGTATTTATTATGATACTGAGCTTTATTAGCAAACATTCAGAAATTCTGCTTTTATTTCATTCAGATTTCCCAAATTTCTCACCAAACTCCAAACAAAAAGTAATTGTAGTTAAAATAATAAATTAAAACAATAATGTAAGCCTACAACTACACCTTGTCGAAACCTGTTTCTAGAGCAGATCTTCATTAGAGGACTTTCATATACTTGTACATATTATATATATCATAGGAATTTAGCTTATTCAAGTTGGTCTGTTTAAATAACAGCATGCTGAAAAAAAATAATGCTGCCTTCTAGAAAGCTTCACATTGTAATCTCTGGATTTATTGTTATTAAAAATCATACAATAGTCAGCTTGGAAGGGACACCTGGAGGTCATCTCACCATCTGGTCCAACCCCCATCCCAACGCAGGATAAAATTCAAAGTTGCCTCTAATTTCAAAGTCAGATAGTTTGCCTCAGGCCTTGTCCAGTTAGGTTTTGAGTATCTCCAAATACGGAGATTTCACAGTCTCTCTGAACAACTTGTTTCATGTTCATTACCCTCATTGTGAAAAAACCCTTCCCTTATATTGTCATAAAATGTCCTGATATCTCAAGTCAAGATAAAAAAAGATGAGTGCAAACCATTAGTTCTCTACCCAAGTCATACTTTCAAAAGAAACTCATTGGCAAAGATATTCAGCAAACAAAATTGCTACTCTGAAAGAGAAAGTGGGTTAAACATACACTGGTGAAACACTTACCTTACAAAAGGGAAGGATTTGTATGATGTGATGCTTATAATTGAATTTGGTGGTCTGGCTGGTAGTATTTCTAGGCCTGTCTTTGTTTGCTAAAGGACCTCTAAAAGCAGTCCTAGAATACCTGATTACTCTTATTCTCTAACTTGTTCCAAGTGGTTTTTAAAGTCCCTTTTCTAAATTCCCAGACATCTGTACCTCTCAGTGTAGTGACTTCATCAAACTAATTATTGAGTGATAATGCTCCCTACTTCATGGTTCCTAGTACCTTCCCTTTAATGTTATCAAGGGTCAGTTTATCCCCACGTTACAAGAAAATATCAGAAAAATCGGTGGAAGGAAATGTACTCTCACGCTCTGAGACAATAGACCCTTTTAAGGGTCTAAGATTTGCCAAGTGATTTCTTGCTGAAGAATTGTTCTTATTGTTTATTTTTATTAGAGTAGGTGAACAGCATCGTATGAGCCTTTCATAGGGTAAATGGGTTGGCCAGCCAATTTTGGCTTTGTGGGATCATGCTCTTCCCTCAAGTGTACAACTTCAATTACATGACTTCCATGCTGAGAAAATGCATTAAGTTTTAAAATGCACAGCAGCAGGCTGGTCTTAATAAAAATGGTTATACCCCACTCTTAAACCGTAAATCCAAGGTGCAGCTGAATATGAAACATTCATTTACTGCCAATTACACACAATTTCTGTTATGCTTAGGAAGATACATATTATGTGCTAGGTGTATTAAAAGCCCCAAACCCCACAACTCTAGAGGAAATAGGGAAAGGCTTAAGATCTTTCAAGACAGGCATAGACAGAAATGCAGTGAGCTTTGTAACCTAACAGCAGGCATCTATTGAAAGTATGTACAGCACATATGTAACCCTTATGCATTATAGAAACTCTTAGAAGAATTACTGCAATCCAAAACTTTTGTCACGTTAGGAACAATACAAATCTATTTAAATAATTCATTCTCATGAGTTTCTCAGAAGATGAAGAATAATAAGAAAAATAATTTTTGTGGCAAAAACTGACTCTTCCAGTGTCACAAAGCCCGGAGTAGAATCCATTTCTTCTACCTCCATGCTCAAATAGGCCTTAGAAAAATCTAAAAATATGCATGAATATCTAGTAAGGACAGAGAAAGGGTGAAAAGCAAACTCACTTAATGTTACAGATACTTGCACTTAAACTGTGGGAACACCCTTCAGCTTAACTGCACAGTTGTGACGCAGTCATTTTTTCTCAAGGTTAATGTTAATACTTGTGTTCAAGGCCCTTCAACATAACTGTTTATTATGACAGGTTCCACTGAAACACTTATTTGCAGGATGCAGTTCTACTCTGGAAAATAAGCTTTCCAGCGGAGAGTTGCTACCATTTAAAATGCTCCTGTCTCACATCAGGACTCTAGGCTGTTTTCATAATTCAGACTCCAGAATAATTGTTTATAGCCAAGTTCCCAGAGAATATGGAATATTCTATACTAGGGGAGAACTGTGTTCTCTTCATGTGTGCATATGCGTTCATATGTAATCCTAATTAATATGTTAGTTTAGAGCTGCAGAAAAGAATTGTTAGGATGCTTAAACACCACTTTTAATTACTTCATTGGTCAGGATTCCTCCTACATCCTCCTACAAGCCAGAGTGGTATGATAATATTGCAACAAAACTCATCTTACTATACAGATTTCTTCTTGTTATTGAAGACAGCCTCTTAAATAGTCTGTAAGCCTGGTAAACATCAACTGTGGTGTTTGTATCTTTCAAAAGTCATCAAAAATCAAATAAAGGACTGAGGTGCTTGTAATTAAACTTTGATGTTTGCATAATTAACTCAATACAGTCACTTAGAACTCAGTGCCTCCTTATTTAGCTTCTTCACATATTCTTGTGAAGAGACAGTACTTGGAAGTATGAAACTGAGTCTTGCTATAAATTAACTTTGATTAAGCTGGGTGAGTGATGAGATCTGGGCCTGATGTACTGAGACTAGTTTAAGGCCAGAAAACAAAAGATTTGCCCAAGCTTCACTCAGTGATCTTCAAAAGGCATTTATCTTCAGTATAGTCCATTTAGATTTATAGTAACTTACCTCCTGTCGTAAGTCTTCACCTCTGTTTATGCATGGAGGTTTTCAGTGCCTTTTAAGCACTAAGAGATGAGTGAAAAACAATGAAATGCTTTCTGGAGGTATAAAGTCTCTGACCAGAAGACTACCGTGAGGCACTAAATCTGGTTATGAATTACTGTCCTGCCCAGAGGAAGGCAAATCTGTGCTCGGGTAGAGATCACCCTCAGCTAAGTGAAATTTAAATACCATTAGATCCCTTATGAAAGTTTCCTTTATACACAGAAAACGAACATAATAGAAAGCAAAAGTGGGAAGACATGCAGGAAGGCTGTGATCAGATGGATCCTCTCCGAGACGGAAAGCTCTCCATCTCATTCAAGCGGTAAAGGAAAAAGGTGAACTGCATTATCTGAAGGAATTATGGGAGGTTCCATAACGTACCCACACTGACTGGCAAGCTCCTTCACTTGGTCTATAAATTCTAGCAAAAAAACCTCGGAGAAAGGACTTCCATATTACTGCACAGATAACTTCATCTTCCCATGCAACTGCTTTAAGCTTTATAAACAGCATTGGTTTTTCCATCTTCACACTAGAAAATCTGGCTGCGTTGTGGCAATAAGCAAATCCCTAGAGAGGGAATGAAAGAGACGTTTCCTCACATCTCTCATTTTGTACCTGCCTGCTAGGCTACACTAACATCAGAGGTCTATCCCCCTATCTTCCCATACTTTTCTTTTCCACTAAGTTATAAAACAGCCAATGACCTGCTTGAGAATTAGAGTATCAACCAGATGTTTCCTGAGCAGACAACTTGTGTTTCCCTTTGTACATCATCTTCTGAGAGGCAGTGCTATAGCAATTGCATATCTGACATCATTCACTATGTTGACTTTGGGTTACTGAGAATCTTTCTTTTACTTTACCTTCCAACTCAAATACAGTAGCTTTACAGAGAGGTCACATGGAAAGAATGGACGTGAATGACTGACATACGTGGAGGAATAGTTTATATTCACTTTGTTACAGTAAAGCCATTTGCTGGAGGGTCATGCAATAATAGCTTTTGGGGTTTTGTCAGTTCAGTCAATAATCCCCCAAAAGAACCAAGTCCTTCTGTGAAGGACAACATGCAAAAATACGCTTTTGGAAAAGCTGGTCTTTTGAAACAGAAGTTATACATGAGAATAGATCCAAAACTCATTATGTCTGATTAGTGGGCATAGGATGGGATGCCTGTCTGTTACCAGAGACCACAGCAGTTTTTTAGTTCTACTCGGCTACCAGGAAAACTTCACTAGTACCTACTAATCTGTAGAGTGAGCGTACTGGTCTGTTAATGGGGTGGAATATATAAGATTAGAGGCTCAAACATTATCTGCTAGAAATGCTTCATTCTTTTTCTTTAAACAGCCCTACAGTTCACAAGAAATCATTCTAAAGCACAAACTTTGAACTTCTTTTTCAGGCAAACTATTTCTGATGAAAATAGAAAGCTAAATTTCAGATGCTATTTAAGCTAGCAGCATGGGAAAGGATGGGACCTTTCGTTTTTTAACTTCTGTGCAACAGAACTCGTAATGCACAGTGACTTACAGCTTACATAGCATTAAGATTTTTGTGCAGGGTATCTCGAAAAGTTCACATGATGCACAAGTAATTTACACAAGAGCAATATTTATCAGGCATGAATAAAGCTTTAAAATGTTTTATGAGTAACTTTTGCATCCAAGACTGAACAATACAAACATTTTTTTCTGGTTATAAACTGATTTAGACAAGAAGCCACCAGATGCAAAGCCACAAAATACAAGATAGATATGGTAGTTCATACTTAAAGTGAAATGAAATAACATCACTGCATATTTATGTCACTATGAAAGCCAACGGAGACACAAACTTAACAGAAGATCTGATGTTGCATTCATCTCATATCATTGGTTAGTTGCTTGTGAAAAAGAGGAAAAGAAATCTGCTTTCAATAGCTACTGTTCGATCAAGTGTGACCTTTAACTTGGAAAGTTGAGTACAGCAAAAGAAACTGCCTGTGCAATAGCTTTTAATAAGGATACAGGAGCAAATACCACGTATTACTATACACTGTTAGTGCAAGGTCTCTAGGAAATTCTGTTTTCAGCAAGATTAACAATGGTGCAGTTTAGCCTCTTTAGAGTGCTTAGTCTAAGCATTTCAGCACACTGCAAACAAATGTATACCAGGTGTTGATGACAAATTTCTAGAAGAATGACAAAGGTGCAGTCATGAATTTATGAATCAAAATACTTTCACTCCTTCTCATGTAAGGTTGCTTTTATTAAACATCAAACAAAATGATGGAATGGATGGAGGGGAAAAAAAAAAAAAACCCAACAACCTCATACCTGTAGGCGATTCATCTCTGTGCACATGCCCAGCTTGCTACCTACACATTTCTTGTTGCAACTCTTGCGGTTAAGGCAGATTTGTATTACAAAAATCCATTAGTTTGCATCAGTGTTCCAGGATGACTCTTCCTCAGTTAGCTCACTTTTCCAATTCTGTTATTTCAGGCTGAGAATAGATTGTTTTGCTTTTCTGTCTTCCTTTGGAACAATCGACCTGTTCCTCCTTTGCTCCAGGACATAACTTGTATCCATTCTATTATTTAAAAGTAATTTTGGTATTCCTCTGAAGGCTTATGGCATTTGAACTCCTAAATACCTAGCACGCTCCTAAAAATGAATCATCAAAACCAACACACACACACACACACAAATTCTTGGAAACACTGCCAAAATTTGAAGTTTGATATACTCAAATAAAACACCATCATTCATTCTCTTGTTATGACAGAATTGTAATTTGTTTTAGGTATATAGACAAGTACCAATTTGGATCCAGCTGCAGTAAGTGCAAAAGTTATGGAAAAATAAGGAAAATGCGTCTTCAGAATTTTCTCTAGCTGTTTGTGCTCTTCACCTACTAGAAGAAATTTGATTAACAGCTAAGCTAAAAGTGGATTGAGAGTGGTCTAACACCACAGTATTTGATTCAGGAATGGTCTACAAGGCCAAGATATTTGGAAAAATGGATGAACTGCAGGCAGCAACATCCTCAGTACACAGAGGACTCTACTTAATTCTCGTGAATCCAAGTTATTTTTCCAAAAGGCTTTAAAAATAAAGCAGCATATGATGTCAGCCAGTCATATTTGTGACCTGCCCAGCATGGCCAGCCTTAAACATGAGAGATGGAACAAAAGCACTGCATTTTATGGACAGAATAATGATTTAATTTAAACAAATAATTAATTACACAACATATAAAGGCAGTCACTTCAACCATTTCTTTTTTTTTAAGAAGATAAAGCTACCCAGTTACAAGAAGCAGCAGAATTAGATTTAGCAAAGATGCAGAATATTTTAAATCCCTGAGATTGAGGCCTTTTCACCCTTGGTCTGCTCTATTCTCCACCCAAAGGTGCTATAAATTTAATTTCCTGCTCAGCTGTGCTTTCGGTAGATTATCAGCCAAGAAATACAGTTCCATTCTTTACATCAGCATGAAGTTTAAAAACATAAGCAACCCCAAGATTCACATCAAGTTCATTCACAAGTGAGTGTAACAAAGAAGTCTAAATTAGTTGCAGGCATCCAGCTTAGAAATACTTCCAATTTAAATGTTGTATCTAAGCTGCCTTATAGGTGAGGTTACTGAGTTTGAAGATATAACTTGTTTCCATTAAATCAGACATGGAAGGTAACTCCATCTTCCTTCTTGCTAGCTGGACATAGCTAATGCTTCATACCTTTAATGCAAGGACATTGAGATGCCAATGCAAGGCTTTAGGCACATATCCTTTTATATCTAGACTTACATAATGAGTTCCAGTTCCTACTGCAGGCTTCTAGTAATTTACCTATATACCCTCAGTACATTTTAGGTTTATGGCAGGCAGGCAGGCAATTTAAGAATGACCAATCCCGGCAACAGAAGTGTTTCCACACAGACATGCAAGTTCCATTACCTGCTTTCAGTAGGAAGCCACCCTGCAAGGCCACACAGGCAGATCCAGGCATAACATGCACAGAATTCTCAGGACAAGTTGAGACATTTTTTCCTAGCAAGGTCATTGGTGTCTCTTGTCTGTTATTTTACAAACATAATTCCTCTAGCTGACCTACTGACAATCAGCATAAAGCATGGCGTCAAGACAAAAACTAAGTACTTCAAAAAGGAGGCAGCTGAATTTGCTATTATCTTGTCGATAGCTAGCTCTTCAGTTCAAGATGGAAACAAAGGCCTAATAAAATTCAAGGCATAAGCCAAGTAAAATAAAATTATTTCCAGTTAGAGGTAGATTTTATCCAGTGCGTTGTATGATAGCCATTCCTGAAAGTGCATAACTCTAGAAATCAGATCAACTTGATGTGGCCTATGTGCTCTTGGAATAATTATGGCAAGCTTTTTGCATGTCCTTCAAGAAAGTAGGCACACCACTCTGTAAAGAGAAAAGGAGAAAAGTCATTCTTCTGTGATGTAATTAAGAAAGATTGTAAATAAGACCAGCATCCCTATTATATAGTTCAAGGTTTCAAACAAACACAGGACAATTCTAAGGTCTGCTACAAAGCAGCAGACTGTTCCTTTAACACTTAAGAACAGACAGCATTATTGAAGTTTGCAAATGGTAAGACTGTTTGCTTTAGCTCTAGAACACAGATTTACTCTTTTTGTTGCACAAATTTACCTGCATGGTTGACTAATCAAAGGAATTTAACAGGAATCAAAGGAATAAATATTAAGACAACTGCTGTGAAGAGTGGAGACAACAGCAAGTCTTGAAAATGAGACTGCATAAGAGCTAGAAGGGTCAATGCATCCATTTCAGAAAAAATAAGTCTACCCAACACGCAAAAGGCATGTTTCGATGCAGTGAGGGGACTGTTAGGGACAGATTAGCCAGAGACAATTGTGCCGTCAACCTTTACTTACCTTGGCAGCCCAGTTGACCAGCCACGATGGAATCATGCCACCAGGATTATCAAAATAGTACATATAGACTAGAAATGAGAGAAAAGAGTTACCACAAACAGTTTTCCAGCTATAATTTGAATACAAGCTCTTAACACTGTATGACTGGAAGCAGTCAGTGTGCATGACTGGAGCACCAAGTACAACAGCTGTGTTTGAAGTTCTATACAAGAAGTCAACTTGTGAAGTGGAATGTCAGATAAATACAGCCATTCCCAATTAAATCTTGGGGAGCTGAAAGAGTCCCAATTCTCATTTAGTCTAGTCCAAACCATTTCACATAGACAGTCTTGTGAAATAAGGTTGTCCTTAAAGGACTCAGTCAGGAGTCGCTCTCTTGGCAAGCCCTTTCATCTATAAATCTGTCAAACATATTACTTAAATCATTATTGGATTAAGCAGTTTCTAGTTACTATCAAACTCTACCCAAGTGATTGGCAGCAAAACAAGTATTAGGAGGGCTGGGGGGCAGTAGCTTATCCTTAATTACTTAGTCCAACTGTTGAGAATCATTTCCTTACAACGGTAAAACGCTGCATTGGATTTTTCAGTAAGTTTCATTCATTTTTAAATACTCCTAGTGTTCTGCATATCACTTTACTGTAACTGTACGTTGCTCAAACTTTTCAGTCTCCCTCTTTGTGCGTTTTGCCAAATACATTCTTTGGCTACATGACTTGTGATCACACTTTCTTGACCTCTTACCTTTAGATCCAGTCTTGCCATCACTTTCAATTGCGAGACTTTGTTTATAGCTTTTAACTCTGATAATACCAGGCTTTTCTGGGCACTGAGGAACAGACACACTTTGAGCTAACACAACCCAGATCTTCCGCCCATCAACATCCATCACTCGACATTCACGAATATAGACATACTGTATTCCAAGTTCAGGAGGCACGTCAAAACAGTGTGTCAGTTTGGCATACGATGCACTGACAAGTGAATTGCATTACAAGTCCTAGCCCCATCAAGTGATTTCTTACGCTTCCACAGAAATCCGCCCTACACAGTAATATTTCTGCTTTGCAAGGTTTTTTTTTTAGTTGCCTCTAAGGAGGAACACCTACACTCTTCCTCATGCTATTCATAGTCATGTAATGGGAGGACTGCAAGATCTTAAAACAAATGCAGCAGAGCAGTAGTCAGTACATCGTCAGGGTTCCTGAATGACCAGGTGACAAACTGCAAGGAAAACAAAAACCTTGAAAGGATACATCTCTGTTTGAGAGAGGAAAAGGGTACTTCACTTCCCAGTAGATTATTTTTTCACCATCGTAAGTTTTCTCATACAGTTCTACAGTTGAGAAAGGAAGACTGTTAGATGTATTAATTCGCACTGCAACAAACATACAGGGCATCAGGAAGCGTTCAGAATATTCCTCATAGACACAAGGATTACAGGCAAAATGTGTTCAAATTGATATGCACGTACTGGCTGTGGCAGTAGAAGGTTTTAAGAACCTTCTGCAGCAGGATTGTTGAGGAACCAAATGCACAAAAATAGGAAGCTTTTGGTTTTCTGCTGCTACTGGATTCATTGATGCAAAAAATTCCAGGATGATGCAGAGTCAAATTCCCTTTGAGACTGTTAGTCTTTCAAAGCCTTTCCATCCCAAAGTGTTTTCCTTGTCTATGCATATTTAGTATAATTCTAAACCGCCAGCAGAGTATACTTTTTCACAAGCATGTCATTATCCTTGTAAATGATTCTGAGCCAACATAGAATTAGGACAAGTACTACATCCTAATACTTGAAGAGCTCTCACATGAGGGATTAATGAAGCCTGGAAAAGCTATTAGGAAGTTCAATCAGTATATACACGCAATAGTGGACACTAAGCTAGAACAGTTTACCAGCCTCCATTACACCTTTACACTCTCTACATGGGTGCAGTTATACTGAAGGACACGAGCCAGACCAGACTGTTCACATTAACAGTCGGACCATTCTTTTTCTGCATTCCAACACAGAATTCAGTCTGAGGTACTACATATCCTTCACAGTTAATACAGTCTGCCGCATCGAAGAAGTAGCTTTGAAAGTAAGGCTAGAACAGACAGATAATTTCATTGTTAAGGCAATAAGAATGCCATGGATGGGAGAACGCTTTCCCTATATAACATGTACCCAGCTAGGCTTCTGTTAGTATGCCCTGCAAGTCAGCTGTCACCCTGGAAAATGACCTGTCCTCTTCTCCAGGCTGGGGCAATATGAGATGCGCAGTACTTCCAGTGTTGCTGTAAGAAGCTAAACCATTATGGTTTCCACCAGAGGTCACTGGAGTATTGGTTTGTTACCTTTTAACTATAGCTTTCCTTTCTAACTGATTCCTTTTTCAAAGCAATTCATCTTTGCAAGGATATTTTCGCAAACACAAGAAAAACTACAGGATAGACAGGTTAGTCATACCCACTTGTATTCCCTTTAATCTGTCAACGCTAGTGGACAGAAAGCTTTGATCAAAGCAGAAAATAATGTTTTACTAAGAAATTAGATTTTACGTATCATTACTACAGTATATCGCAACACTGTTACATTGATAACAGGCACATCAGCATCTGTTGCATTAGCAGATCAGTTATTAGCATGAAGTTGTTGAGAAGCGTGGTCTTAATCAGGACAGCGGTACAGTTAGGAGTAACAAGTTTTTTATATTGCTCAGCCTTGATGTTTTGTACCATGCCATAGGAACCCATGGTGCTTTACGCACTACTCTACAGTTTAGTCAGAACTTCCCTGCTG